GATGCTGACGGTGCCCGCAGTCGGACCCGGGCAGTGGAGAACCAATACTCCTTCTACTGAGCCCCTTAGGGGCGGGATGATGGGGGGACACGGGGCAACCGTGCCCATTGCTGCTGCACCAGCCTCACTGCCACCACCAGCACCGGGGCGAGGACATCCTCCTTGCTCCTGTGTGATGGCCCAGCTGGACCTGGCAGCACTGAGTGGGTGCGAGGTTGGAAGCATCAGTGCTGTTTTGAAGCTTGCGGCACCTTCCCTTTCCCTCCTGACCAAGTGTTCTCCCAGCACTGAGGTTTGGGCATTTTGGGATGGGGATGGAAGTGTCCCTGCAGAGCTGTCCTCGTAGGCACAGGTCTGTGTGCCTATAGGCGTTGTGCCCCATGCTCAGCACAGCTCCATCCTTGTGCGTCTCTGGGGCACAAGCTTCCCATGCTCTGCCAGGAGAAGGCTTTTTGTCCAAAGCTTGATGCATCTCATTGGAGGAAGGTCTTTCCCTGCTTTCCTGCCCTTTCTCTTCCTTTGTCCTTTTTCTCCTTGTAGAGATTCCCTGAACGCTCCCTTTCTTCCTCTCCTTTGCTTCTGAAACCTTGAATTGCCTACAAGGGTATCAGCAATCTTCTCCCTCCTTTCCACAGCACTCATTGCCATCGTTGAAGGCAAACCTTGGAAAACACAACACCAGCCCCACTCACATCAGCCCTTACTTGGGGTATCTCCAGGGGGTCAAACAGAGGCCAGGTGCAGGGCTGGAAGCAAAATTGCCACCACAGCACACCTCAGGAGTGCAAACACTACAGACCTTCAGTAGATGCTATTGAAGATTTTTATTTTATTTTTTTTCTTATAGAAATTGAAAAACCCAGAGAGAATGAAAGGAGTGTGGCTCCTGGTGGAACTGTGTGGCTGTGCAGGTGGAACACAGGGACTGGGTTGGGCTGACAGCATTGGGATTTCCCTTGCTCAAGTGCCACCCTGCCCTCACCAGTGCCACGTGGCAGCACTGCTGCCTGCAGGGACCATGTGCTGTCTCTGCCTGTTAGCAGCATGGTGGCTTTTGAGCAGACCCCTGCAGCACATCTCCAGCATGAAAAGGAGCTCCCTCCTGCACTGCAGAGACCTGAGAGAGAGAGCACAAATGCTAGGGCCAGGCTGCTTGCTGGGATTGTGTTCTTCATGTAGGGTAAGAGTCAAGCCACAGCCAAGCTCGAACCCCAGTGAATTGCCTGAAGAGTTATTCTGGTGTCTGGTTTTGGTTTGGATCAGATTTTTTTTGTTAGGTGCCTTCTTTCCTGAGCTAGCAAAGTGTGTCCCAACTCTGGAGTCGCTTCTCATCCTTCCCACAGGCAGGGATGAGCTTCTGCATCAAGAAGACAGGCTACAAGCCTGTCTTTGAGGCTTGTAGCTTCCTCCAGAGCTGAGAGCTGCCTTCTGGGCTGCTGAGGGCTGGGAGCTCCCACTGTTGCAACCACAAGCCCTCAATCCCTGCCCTGCCAGTAGCCACCTCCCTATGTGAAGGCTGGGGCGGTGGGAGTGGGCATTTCTCCTTGCTCACATAGGGAGAAGCTGGATGCTCTGTGTCGCTGGATTTAACACAAACTCCCTTTACATACACAGTGATTGAGTGGGGACCTCCAGATGTGGCACAGATGTCATTGCTCTTGTTCTCCCCACAGTCCCCAGGTGGCGGTGGATGGGAGCACTGCCTTAGAGGACTTCACATGTTGGCTGATTTGTCATCATCTGCGTCACGGGATAGGAGAGGGGTGGGGGGAGCAGCGATCTGCAAACAAACATGTTCATTTGTAAATAGGGAAGAGTCTGGAAGAGTTTACTGTTCTGTAGAATAAATTAATTTTATTTAAAAAAAGGAAAAAAAGGGGACTTGTTAAACAAATGGAGAACTCAAGTTCCAGTTTTAAAATAAAACCACTTGCAAAAAGGACAGCACAAGAACATGAGCATGGAGCTTTGCTGTGTAGAAAGAGAGAGGATGCTGTCATGCAGCGTGCGTACAGACCTCGCTGCTGGCCTGAGGCAGCTATGGTGAGGCACAGGCTGACCAGCAGAGTGGGTCTGGCACACTGAGGAGGGAGGGGGGGGGCATTTTTTATCACGATTGAGCAGAGGGAGGTGGAGGACACGTCCAGCCTTTGCGGGGCTGGGTTTCCTCTCCTCTCAGTCTGTCATTTTCATTGTCTGGTGTGTTGCCGGTGTAAGTTGAAACGCCTTCAGCCCTGGAGCGGAGCAGATAAAAGTGAATTAACAGCCCTGGGGAGCATCTCCTAGCAGCAGTGTTCCCCATACATGTTTTCCAACCCCCATCCCCAAGGGAGGCAGGCAGTGCCTCATGCTCTGCTGCCGTACATCTTCCTAGCGTGCTGAGGATCCCCAGGGAAAACCGGTACGTGGTTCCAGACTGCACTGTCACAGCTCGGCAGCATGGCAGACACAGCTTCCAGACACAGCTCACACATGGCTTTTGGGGGTGGGGAGAGCTGCTCAGCTCTGTAATCAGGCCACGGTTGCATCACGATCCATTCACAAAAACATTCCCTCCCCAAAAATCTCTGGAGCCTGTTAACCAGCCCTGGATGCCCATCCATCAGGGCCTGGCCAGCTGGGGAGCTGACAGCCCTTCATTGCTGCGAGGGCTGTGTCTGCAGGACAGCTGCTCCTCCTGCCTCCCCGTAAACCATTCACACCTCGGCTATTAGCGAATTGCCTAATTACGGCATTAGTTCTGCTGGAAAACGTGCGTTCCTGTCCTTTTGCTGGGTTGCTCTCTGCACTGCACACGGAGATGTAGCAGCAAACCGGGAGAGCGGGCTCAGTGTGGGCTGGGCAGGTTGGTGCTGCTCCGCGGTGTGCTGCGTGCTGGCTGATGCCGTGAAGAAGGAGGAAGATGTGGAGCTTGCAACCGTGCAGCCCCCCGCATTTCTCGGGTGTTTCAGCTGTCTGCAGTGGCTCCTACCTGATAGATTTGCAGGGCTTTTCTGTGCACAGCTCCCTGTGCTTCCGGAAGGATCCCTTTTGTTAAGAGAACACCTCAGAATGCATTTGCTTTGGAACACAAAGGAGCTTCTCTGATACGCATCAGGAAGTACTGTTGTTTGCTTTGCACTGAACTGCTCTGATGCAAATCCCGTGTCCCCTGCAAGCCCAGTTCTGCCCAGATCCCAGCTCAAGGGTTTTTTATTTTACAGTGATGCAATGATATCCATCCTGTTTTGGTCTGACACAAGTGACAATCTCTTCTTTCCTCCCCAGATGCATCTCAAAAGTAACACGTGTACCTCGAGGGTCCACACCTAGGTGTGCCATTTGGGAGGGTGTTACTTGCAGGTCTGTCTCCCCGTGCTGTTTGCGTGGGCTCTGTCTGATGACAGGCAGCTGCCTGTCGTTTCCCAGAGCTGCAAGTCGTTGTCAGCACAAGCCACGCTTTGGGCAAGAGAATCGAGGTGTCCAGCTGCTCCCTGCAGCCCTCCAGCCATAGTGGTGTCTGGCCATCACTGATTTGCTGTTCTCCAGCAGCAACTGGCACAGTTGCTCACACCCCCGCTTTCGGAAGCTGTGTTTTGGACCCTGAGCTGGGAGAGCTGCAAAGACAGGAGCTCACAAGCTGGGAGACAGCATGAGGAAGATGTTTGCATGGCAGCAGCCAGGGCTGTGGCTGCAGGGATGCCTTCCAGGGCCAGCGCAGACAGCTGGGAACTCAGCCAGCTCTGAATTCAAGCCATTCTTTTATAAATCAGGTTGGTAAGACAAACACGAGGCATAAACTAGAGCCATTTCCATAGCAACCTCAGCAGAGGTAAAAAGTCTTTTGTAAACAAAGAGAGGACTGAACCTGTGGATCCGCTCTGATTTTCTTCACGGACGAGAGAAGAGCATGTGGGCTTAATAAATTCAGGTCAATACAAATGACCCATAAATCTCAGATGGAACCATTCCCAACCTCTGCGTTCCCTTTTCTCTCCCCTCTCCTCATGCACAGCACGGAGCTGTCTCAACCCAGCGCCCAGCTCCGTGCCCCAGCTTATCTCCATAAAGACACAAAGCCCAATGCCCCTCTTCTTCCATCACCGTTGACCTTTAGTAGCTAATTCTCTGACGCACACGCAGCCCCAGCACATGCCATGCCATTTCTGTATGGCCACAGCAGCTCGATGAAAAATTTGGCTTGTAGAGAGAGCTGTATCACGGCCAGCTCTAGCTTCCATTCCTCCAGGCAAGCGTAGCTCGGGGTGTGCAAGCCCTCAGCTGGTCCATATGCTGATTGGGCAAAGCCCCTGTGTTAATTAAGCACAGATGAGGCAGCGACCCTCCTCATTACTGTGAGTCCATGCCACAGGGAATTGTGCTGCAGATCCTCGCTGCCAGCGGGCACAGCCTGCTAATTGCCAAAGTGACACGAGCAGATGGTGCTGCAGCCCTGCCGGGAGGCACCAGGAAGCACCGTATCGCTTACACCATCACGGGGCAGGGATTTGGCTGGGGCCAGGGCGTCCGTGCAAAATGCTGAGAATTCTCTCCTCACAGAGCCTGGAGTGTGACGGATTTTGGAGCGGCCTTGCTAACAGATCCCACAGGGGTGTGGGGTCACTGGGTGCAGCACTGGGGGCAGTGGGGTGATAGGAGATCTGCCGAGCTCTGCTGTGGGGCTGGAGAAAGCAGCAGCAGCAACTCGGAGCAGCCCTCAGCTTCCAGCAAGGCCGCAGCACACCGCCTGCTCCTTCCTCACAGCCCTCACCATGCCTGAGGGGACATCACTTGTGCAGTGTGCATTTACTAATGACACATCCTAGGCCTCCCTAACAGCGAATACCCGAGCCCTGAGGAGGCTGAGGCACAGCTCACGCAGCCCACGCTGCCTCCTGCACCTCCTCTGAGGCGCTCCGAGCAGTTTGCCACGGGCTGGCAGAAGGGCAGGGCCTAGGCCGGCCGCCATTACAGGCCGCTCCCATCGAGGCGGCCACGCCCATCGTCTTGCGTGGCGACGCCGGAAGTGGGCGGGGCGCTGTGGGACGGGAAGATGGCGGCGCCCTCGGCCCCGCGCCCGCCCCGGCCCCGCAAGGAGCCGCAGCCGCTCGTCATCCCTCGCAACGCCGCCGAGGAACAGCGCCTCCGCCTCGAGCGCCTCATGAGGAACCCGGTGAGGGGTCGGGAAGCGGGGCGGCTTCGTGCTTGCGGCCGCGAAGGGACGGGTACTGAGTTCGCGTCCCGCCCTGGGCTGTGAGGGAAGAGGCGCCCTGCGGGGAATGGGGCAGCCTGGGGCTCCGATGTCTGCCTCTTGCTGTGCATTTCCCGGGAGCTGGTGGGAAATCTCAACCCTTGGGCCCTAATGAGGCGTCTTGACCCTTGTCCTGAGAGGTGTCCTCTGGTTCCTGCTTTCTGCCTGCTCCCTGTCAGTGGAGATGTATCCACAGCTGTGCTCCTTTTGGGGTCTGCCCTGTGGTGGAAGGGGCTGCGGGCATGCACGTGCCATCCTGTGTTAGAACTGTAGGTGTTGCCCCCGGAGGATGCTGATGGTTGGTTTGTTCTTACAGGAAAAGACTGTACCAATTCCTGAGAAGCTGAATGAGTGGGCACCACGGCCTCCCCCGGAGTTTGTCAGAGATGTGATGGGTAAAGGCACTGCTCTTCAGATAACTGTAGGATCAGCCATTTTGAGCTTAGACACTATTTAACAGAAAAACTGGAGGTGATTTCCCGTTGGCAATCATTTTGTTGGAGAAAAGAGGTATAAAATGAGCTTTTTGAGTTGTTTTCTCAACATCTGCATTGTTCGTGGGCCTTGCTTTAATCAAAGTCAAAACCTGTGGCACTCCAGTAGACAAGCTACATGTAAAGGAGTAATTTGTGCTGTAGTGATCACAAGGCACAAGTAAATTGTCTTTTCCACAGATATGAAAGTGCTCTGGAAGCTTACAGTTGTGAATTACCTCTTTTAATGGATTTGAGTCTGAATCTTGGGTGGTAAGAGGCAGAGGCATGCAGGGATGTGACAGCACATGGTCAGCTAGGGAGCTGACAGCCATGGAGGGAATCCAGCCCAAGTGTTCTGCCTGCACTTCTATCTGGAGGGATTAGGGTTAGTATTTGTAGTCTGAAGTGCATCTGCATGTAGATCTGCAGATTCTTTGGAATCTTCATCTTATTGATCTTTCCCAAGGGCCAGCTTGTTCATATTTCAGAATAACTGATCTAAGATTAAAAGTTTTACATGTTTTTGAGTAAACTGTTCTCATTATTACAATTCCCTCATAGGTTTTTCAAATAGCTTTGCCAGGTGCTTCAGTAGAGCTGTTTTGTTTTTTTAGGAGCACCTGACGTGCTGGGATTCTGTTGGTATCAAAGTGCCCTATTGCAATCTCATGTTTTAATTATTAGGTGTCTTCTTTTAAGAATGCTTTTGTGTACTTTGCATTGAGAAATGGCTTAGGAGGCACAGGGTGAGAATGAGTGCCACACTGAAAGCTCCTCTGAGACTTTAACGTGTAGATTGGTGCTAGGAAGAGAAAACTGTAGGGATTTTGTTCATGAAGAAACGTACAAAAACTGTCAGTGGAGTCAGTTTTACATGGGAAACAACAATGCAGTGGGTTTTATCACCTTTCAGTTGATCTTTGGTTTTTTTTTTGTATGAGATGGGGAGAATCAGTGAGAGGCAGCCTCAGCAGGATGTTGTAGTTCACCCCTGTCTAGGAGACAACAGGATGTGCGTTTAACTCGAGGTCTTGTGCTTCTGTGTCCAGCTAAGGCTGAGTTCTCTTCAGGGGAGTAATTGAGAGGATATGGTGATTGCTGTTGGTCCTGACTGGTAGAAACTGCATTGAAATGTAAGAGTTTGCAGCTCACTTTGGCTTTTGATTGGGAGCTTTTTGCTCCTGTATAAAATGCAGACACATTCTGTGTTGTTAATAGACTTTCTTTGTACACTGCACTTTCAGATATCCGTCCCCCCAGCATCTAGCTGTAGTAATTTGTGAGCATCCAGTGTGTATTATCTTCTAGCAGACAAACCCCTCCTTATTGCAGGTTCCAGTGCTGGAGCTGGCAGTGGGGAGTTTCATGTGTACCGGCATCTTCGGCGCCGCGAGTACCAGAGGCAGGATTTCATGGATGCCATGGCTGAGAAGGTCAGCAGGACTCTATATTTTTTTTCTCATAAGCATTTGGTGTCCATTGCTGTTTTTTTTTTTCCTTATAAAATCATCTGCAAACAATTCAGTTCCAAACCACTTCTCATCAAAAGAAAACAGCAAAGGAATATGTGACACGTGGTGTCTTTTGTCAGCATTAAAACGTTTGATGCTTTGTGTCAGACATCCCCCATCTTCTCTGTTCACTAGAGATCCTAATGTGTAAACGACAGATGAATCTTTGTGTTCTCATGTGGGTTTGAGAATGCTTTAGCAGCTGTTAGAAATGTCTCTAAGTATAAAATGAAATCCCTAATACCAGTGTCTTGCACAGACAACGTCGAAGCAGTTGCATGCACACAGAATACAGATCTGTTAAGAGTGTCTCCTCTTTCAGGGAGCATTGTTGTTATATTCTCTCTTGGCCAACATGAGTCCTCTAATTCACATGTTTCTGTTTGTGTCTCAGACTATCCTCTTGTTTTTATTGATACATTCTTTAGGGCAGAAGCCCAGTGTCACTCATCTGTTTTGTTGAGGATTCTTTCCTCTGAAGAGCTCAGTGGTTGGCTCAGGCTGCAGGTTACCAATGCTGTCTGTATACAAGTCTTCCCTAGAATTATGTGTTTTGTTAACGAAGCAGCCAGACAAAATCTGGCAGAGCTCCCTTCTGTATTTTGCTAAAGGACTTCTCCCTAAAAGGACATGATTTTGAAAAGAAGTATTTTAATTTAGGTTGTGACCAAAGTATAACATGTGATCAATTACAGCAAAGACTAGATGAGGAATTCCAGAAGAAACTGGAGAGGAATAAGATGATTGCAGAAGAGCAAACAGCAAAACGCAGAAGGAAGCGGTAAGGGCAGATTGCTCCCGGGAGGTTTGACATGGAAAACCTCATGCCCTGTGCCTCATCTGCAGCTACATCCTTTGGATAAATACTCTTGTTCTGTGTCTGCATCAATCAGCCAAGAAATCTGTCTGCATAAATTAATTTCATTAATGTCATTGGTTTGTAAAGGCATCTGTAAATTTGACACGCTTTGCTGGTGTGGTTTTATTTTCAGTGCCGTTGCAAGCAAGATAACGTTGGCTGCTTGAGCAGCTTTTGCTGACACTGTCACACTGACTGCAAGAAGCCTTACTGTGTATTTGAGCAATGTCAGGAAAGTTCTGTACACACGTCTGGCTTACATAAATGTCTGTAGCAGCAGACATCAAGCAACTCGAGTGCGAAAGTGATGCTGCTTAACGGATGCTTGTATGGATTAGGAGTAGCAGGGTGTGATGGTGCATGACGTGCTGACAGTGTGACTAGCCCAGTTCAGTGCATGGGTATAGAAAAGGCTGTGCAGTGTTGTTAAAGTCAGTAGCAGTTTCTACCTACCTCAGTAATGTGCTGGCTGTCTATTAAGTTAAATAGAAAAAATAAGAAATATGAAATCATTCTTTTCCCATGCGTTTTAGGCAAAGTGAAACAGAAGAAATGGTCTGAGAATCATTAGCAGAGATGTAAGATGTTACATTCCAGTCTGCCGTGCCTTTCAGAAATAGCAGATATCATGGCTGCTTACCTCTGCCAGTGTCTGACCCTCAGCAGCTTCTCTCTTGTCTTTCTGAGAATGAGCATTTTGCATTTTGTAGCTGAGAGCTGCTGCTGAAAGGCCTATGCAAAGTGACTCACTGGCACATTAGCACAAATGTGCACAACACAAACACTGCTGCCATCTTCCTTTACATGTAATGTGGTCCAACAGATGGCCAGCAAGTCAGATCTGGCTGCTGCTTCTTCCTTGGCTGAGAAGCAGAACAAGTGTTCAAGCAGGAAATGCTGCCCAAACACGTAAACACCTCCTTCTTGCATTGAGTGGTCTTATGGTGTAAGTATCAAGCAGTTGTGGCACGCAGGAGACCCCTGATGTATCTCACCACCTTTCTTTTCTCTCCTGAGCTCCCAGGTGTGGTGTTGGGGTCTTTCTGTAGAACCCTCTGACTGTGTTGTGAGGGGAACACGAGTCCCAGATTTCTCTGCCTGGTGTCTGCCGTTACACTGCCTGTCTGTCTTTGTTAGGTAACAGAACTGAGATCCCCTCTTATCATCCCCAGTGTTATTCCAATGATTAAGTACAGCTGAAGATGAAGATCAAAGTATATTGCATTATTATTATTATTATTAAAAGCAGATTACTGATAATGACTTTTTTCAGTGTTGAATTCCAACAGCTTGGGATTTTGATAAAGTTTTCTCCACATTTTTATAGGTTGAGTAGCTAAAATATAGGAACAGTTTCATTCTTGTTCCTCCTTTGTTGTGTTCTGGAAGATCCTTGTTTATCGTGTGATTTCAGTTGTAGTTGCATCCATAGGACTAAAACCAAAACAGAAAAGTTTCTGTTGGTCTTATATCTAGATTTGCTACCACTTGTTGAGACCAAATTTGCACTTCACTGAAGTCTTTTCCTGGGATGTCTGTAATAGGTCCTTAATCAGTGTGTAATTACAGTGTGCAGACACTTTACAATGTTGGATTTATGTGAGTCTTTTTTCCTTGCTTTTTAGCCAGAAGCTAAAAGAGAAGAAACTGCAAGCTAAGAAAAATAAACTTGAACAAAAGAAGCAGGAAAAAGGTCAGTGAGATTTAGTTTTCTTTTTTCAAGTCTCAGTTCTGTTTTCTAATAACCCTTAGGAGGGCTTATCCCACTCCCACCAAGCATTCTTCATGGATAGGACTGAGTCTTAAGTGTGATACTTCTGTTTGTCTGTCCAAAGTCCTCTTTGAAAGCCATATTTTTAGATGCACCTGAGAAAAAGGGGGAAAATGCACGGCTTGGACAACAGGAAACCAAGTTATGATTACGTATGTAAGAAATTAAGCCACCTTGGTGCCATCTGTTCCACACAACTATTTCATGTCATGTAGAAATAAGCTCTGCCTCTGTTCTCCTGCAGTCTTGGAAATAAACGTTCAGTGGTGTCGGAACAGATGTTTGTTCAAATGTTTGGATGCTCATTGCTTCCTTTTAATGAGTGAACTTTACCTTAATTTTTCAAAGAGCCGAGCCCATTGATCACAGTAAGTCTGGGAAGTTAACACAGTTCCTGGTAATTCTGTTAGAACATAACTTGTCTGACAGTTCTACTTTATTTCTGCTCTTGTTTGGATCTGTTTCAGCTGAACCACTGCCAGCCTCCCATGTAGATGTGGGAGGATAGATTAATCATTAGGTTAATTGTACTTGTGACAGCAAGGGAATGTAGCAGAGTGCTTTTGGTCTGGTTTGTTTTTAAAAGCTGCTTGCACATAAACTGTGAGCGGGGGGAGAATCTGAGTGTGAGCTTAACGAAATAGAATGCCTGGCTCTGCAGGGGGTTGGGAGAGGGAGGAGCCAGGACTCTGTGCTGCAGGACTGCCACGTAAAATAAGTCATCTTTGGGGAGCCGGGTTCTGAGCCCCTCTGTCTTTAGAACAGTTCTTTGCTTGTTATACTTTGTGATTCTCTATTTTAAAACCAAATAAATAAGCTGGAAACCGCATACAGCTGTCTTTAGTCTGCTGAGAACAGGCTTGTCTTTGACTAGTTTTGTGTGCCTTGAGATCTGAGAGTTTTTTTCCAAAGTAATTGAAGTGCTTGTCAGACCTGGTAGGCAAGCATTTGCGTAAAGAAATAAGTAGGACTTGTGGCCATCTTTCACCTCTGTGAAGGAGAACTGTTAAGAAGAAGGGTTGGCACGAAGTTTTACAGTGCAACACAAACTGACAGGATTGAACTTCACCACACGGTGGCATCGCACCACTGATCCGACACACTGCGGTCAGAGCCTGAGCTGACTTGACCTGAGAAGCAGGGAGGTAGGAGGGGTGTGACAGCAGTTATGGCTGTAGATCCAGGTTGCTCTTTATGCCATACCTAATTTCCACATGCATTATTTAATTTCTAAAAGGTGTTTTCTCTTCTGGTCTTTCACTGGTTTTCTGTGAACCCAGCTGATCTGGCACCTACCTTAAAGGGTTCCTGTGCTTGTAATAAACTTTACAGTCTGTTAAAGGTTTTGGCACCCTGTGGAGTTCCTGTGAACCTGGATAGACACTGAAATACATGGAGCCTGCCAGGCAGCTTCCTGGTGTGTGCATTCTTTAGCAATGTTTTGTGATACTTGAAAGTTCGTGCCAACACGCAGAGGTGAGATTGGGAATGAGATAATCTATGACTTTAGCACCTGACTACCTCTGACTGAGATAGCATTCAATAGGAGGTGGAGTTCTTTAATGTTGGGCTTGTCACAATGGTAAAGCAGCTTGAGTGCTGGAGGTAAGGGACTGCTTCTCCAAGGAAGAATTTGGTATTCGGAGCTAGGCTTCCCTCACTGTTGTGAGATTCTTCACACGGAGGACACGTGGGGCATGTTATCTGCTGGTACTAATTGGTGTGATCAATGCCTGTTTGTACTTCATTGTGAAGTACATGAGGAGGACATGGATATGTTACCAGTGCTCATGGTTTCTGTTTTTAGAGTCTGATCAGTCTCAAGAGCGAGTCAGCAGTGAGGATGACGAAGAGGATTGCAAGGAGGAGGAAGAGAAGGAAGATGATGCTGAGGAACCAAGTTTTGTGATGGGAAGAGGATGAGGCTTCTGAGGGACAGCAGGAAACGCCATTCATTGCTTTACATGCAGAAGCATGAAAGTCTTTCATCTCAGCCAAGCAGAACCCATTGGTGAACGTTGTATCTGCTTAATGGTGAATGACCTTCGCATCGCAGGCCCGAGAGATGTCGATAGAGAAATGCCAAATAAGAGATTTTTTTCTTAATTGCTTGTGTAACTGCTGTGCAGTCTGCTCTGTTTGCTCTAACGAGTCAGCCATAAGTCTCTGTGACCTTAGAGTTCTTTCTGACGTGGCCCAGAGTGTTTTTCTGTCTGAAAACTAAAACACACCCATTACCATTTAAGGAAAATATTACTGTGAGGACTACATAATCTAATGTTGTCAAAGCTGGTAGCAACCAGATACCTGAATCTAAGGGCAGAGTTCAGGCTGAAATAGAAAAGTGGTCTGTAGCCAGGCTGTCATGCACTGTGAGTGTTCTGAATCTGGGGATTTGTATGGGGTCATCTCTAACCCAAAGAAATCAGTTTATGTTCTAGACAAGTTCTATAGATTTTTAAGCCAGATCCCTTTTCTATTGCTAAAACTTTCCCTATTACTTTTCTTCCATGTTTTTTAAATTAATAAAAGGGATGTGTTGGATTGTTCTGTCTTCTTTTATTTGAAGAGGATTTTGGTGCAATGAAGAGGTGTTTGCAATGCTGCAGGGAGGAACAGAAAGGCCAAGCGGTCTGGCACATGAAAATATGGAAAAAGGTGACAGCTGCATTTCATACACTTTTTGCTTTTGGATTTGATCATTATTAAGGTTTTCCTAAAGACTGTGTGTGTAAAACCTCCAAATCTGCAAAGCAGAAAGGGTTGGAATGGAACGGCATTGCTTGTGTTAAGCTTCATGCAGTGACACCTGGCTTTCCCTCTGTTGAGCCCTCTGCTTTGAACTGAGTTCTCTGGTAAGAAAAAAAAAATCTGTATGTATGTTTGTTGATGCTTAAATGAAAAGCAAATGCATTAATGGTTTTATTTGTAAATTAGGTTGTTGTCTTTTCAGTGCATCTTGAATTAGCAGTGCCCGCGTCACACAGCATCAGCATCCGGAATGTGGCGCTACTTCTTCTCAAGTTCTTGTTAATGCCAAATTATTTAAAGCAAAAACAGTGAAAAGGAATCACTTGTTAGTTTTTAGTCCTTGAACAGTTTCTCAGTGGTATTTCTGTGACAGTGGGGGAGCAGATGTCATCAAGTGCCGTTTTGGATTAGATCCCCTGTGCCTCCATAGCACCCCAGCTCGAGCTCCGCATGGAGCTGAGTAGAACCACTTGCTTTGGGTAAGTTGTGACTGTTTCATTCTGTAGTGCTTAAGATACAGACTGGATGTCCCACAGTTTTGGTGTTATCACAGTGTAAAGTGCTGAGTTAGGGGAATTGTTTCACTCAAATCCCCTTTGGGTAGGTACGCCCTGTTGATGCATCTGTGATGTGGGACAAGCCACGTTGTGGTGTTTGTTGGCTTTTGGTTGGAGGGAAATTGAGAGCCTTGCAAATAAACAAAGACTGTTCTGCCTGTGAGCTTGTCAGGCTTTTGAGCTGAATAAATCAGTGCTGGTTGGCATTAAGCAGAGCAGACGTGTGCTGCACGAGGACTTCTCACAGTTGGGAAGAAGATGGACTTGAGTTGGTCTTGGTGAATTAAACGCAGGTTGTATGACCCTGCCCTGGCTCCTCAGGACATCGTGCTGCCCATCCTGAATGATTCACGTGCTGCATTTGTGAGGAGTGCTTGGTTTGTATGTGAAACCCATAAGAAGCCAAGAGAATGTGTTGCTGAGGGTGGTGTCTGCCTTACGGCCATCCTTTTAGCAGCAGGGTCTGTATTCGGTATGCGTTGCTCTGAGTTCTGATAATACCATGCCATGCTGTGGTGGTCTTCCAGAATACAAAGACACTTATGAGTGAGGGAAGTTTTGGTGTAAAGATGAAGCACAGGCGCTGTGACATCTGTGTGGGAGAAGCATCATCCATGGAGCGGAAAAATGGAAGCGCTCCCAAGTGCAGTAAAACAAAGAACAATTCAGGAGTTGCTTTTTGTTCCACATACAGCAGCAGTAACGTGAAGATTTTAAACAGCCCCGGAGTGTGACCTGCTTCCGTTAAGTTCTCGCTTTGGATTTCTTTCCAGACGAGTCGGTCTGCATCAGAGAAAGGAGAGATGTCACCAGGGACCTGAATGGGCTGCCCCACTTCCACAGGAGCCAGCAGCATTAGTGCTGTGACCGTGCAGAGGTATTCCTTATCTCAGAGATGAAAAGCACGGTCAGGAAAATACGTTTGTCTCTCTACCACGTTTCTAGGAATTGTTTTCCTTTGTTGCTTCCTCCCTTCTCCTGTACTGATGCTATCAGGAGGGCAGACCGCTGTGCCATTGAGCTGGAGCACTGCGCTGCTGCCTCCGAGCGCTTTATCTCGTTTTCAGGGCAGGAGCTCCTTCCTATTTCCCGTAGTCTGCCCCCTCCCGTGCTCCTCTGATGGGTTTATGCGGGATTTCCTGCTAAGTCAACAGAGGAGGAATGCAGGGAGATAGCAGCAGCTCTCATAGCCCTCATTTACAAAGGGCGGCTCCTTCAGCGCTCAGCACTGCCTCTAGCGTAGGCTTTTGCTGTATAGTAACCGTAATAAAAGCGCATTTACATCCCGTGCTACCGGTACGTTCTCTATGCAAAGATGGAGAGCTGGGATCGCCGCACCCAATGAAGCATCCACCGGCCCGGGCTTCCCCAGCAGTACGCGTTCGGAGGGGGCGGGGCTATCGGCAAGAGGGCGGGGCCTGGCGTAGCCTTGGCCAATGTAGCTGCGATCACGTGCCGAGGGGCGGGGCTACCGGCAGCCCCCCCATTTCCTGCGGGTCACGTGGCGGGGGCCCGGCGTTGCCTTGGCAGCGGTGGAGGCGGCGGAGGCTCCGGTACCCGGCGGCTCCCGGGGCGCCGCGCCCGAACCGGCCAGCGGGCAGCAGCGGTGAGCGGGGAGACCGGCCCGGCGGGGGAGGGGGCTTCGTTCTACCCGGGTAGGGGTTCAAAGCGGCGGAATCCGGGGTTGGAGGGCATCTGGGGCTCCGGCCTGGCCGCGGGGCAGGAAGGCACCGGCACGCTGCTCCGCACGGGTCTGAGGGGCGGGGTCTGAAGGCCCACGGAGAGGCTGCCGTTCGAGCGCTGGGAACCGGGCTGCCTGCCTCAGTCGTGCCGTGCAGAAATCGCACCCCGGAGGTCGGATGCGGGTGGCTGCCGGGGCTTCCCTTCCTCCGGGCTGGCGCTGCGCGGGATACCGACATCAATACGAGTCGGCGCCTTGCGTCTTCAGCGGCGGTTTGGCGCAGCGGTGACCTGGCACGAGTTTGGCCAGAGCTGAGAAAGAGCCTCCGGGCACGTCCTGCAGCCTCGTGCTGTGCGGCGCGGTGCAGCCCCATCAGCGCGCGTGCTTCTGTTCCTAACCTGTAACTTCCAAGGCAGGAGCGTGGATCTCCCCATAACTCACCTCTGCTGCAGACTGCTGCCTGAAAAGGGCTTCCAGAGTGAGGATGCTTCCAGCTGAAGGTACCGTGAGTGTAAAACGCTCCTTTGGTTTTGTGTTTCAGCCCCCGGAGCCCCCTGCAGCCCCTCCATGCCTGTAGGCAGCCAGGTGAGTGCTGTTCCATGGGTTTATGGGTTTCCTTCTGCAGATGTTTACTTACTTGGGAACATCTCTGGAGTTGCTCTAGAGTAAGAATTCATCCTTGTGGTATTTTCAGTTTATTTTTCTAAGGAAAGAAGCAGCTGTGATTGGATGTTCCTGTTCTCCCCTTGTAACCTCTGAATTCGTGTTTCTTTTAATGGAATTTGTCCCGGGCTTGATGTTTCCAACATGCTGAATTCCTGTGTGCTTTATGAAAACAAATGGCAGCGCAGAGACCGTCGGCGTCCCAGCGAAAACAAAGCCAGCACCCCCACTCTGCATATACAGGATGCCATCACAGGAAGCAGTGCCGTAATTCTGCCACTCACAGGCAGTCTCACAGCTCACAGTGCTTGGCTTGCGGCTGCAGCCTTGGTCACTGTTCCTTTTGAGCAGTGTGGCTCAGAGCTGGGGGCAGTTGGTGCTTTTTATCTCGGCTGCTTCCTCCAGTCTCCTGGCAACCATGACTTGATAAGCCCACACCATATGGTGGGGAGCTGGGAAGGGCTGGAGCTGTGCTCTGGCAAACAGCACGGTGCCTGTGACCCACAGGTGTGGGGCTGGGGCTGATCAGTTCTCCTTCAGGGAGCTGCTGGAGGTTCAGGGGGAAGTTTCTGCTGCAGGAGCTTGGGAGATCCATTCATTAACCCCATGTAGCGTTCAGCTCCGTGGCTGCTTTGGGCAAGAGCTGTGCCTGTGTGAGCTGAGCAATGGGTGAATGGAAAAACTGGTGTCCAAAGGGAGCACAGAGTGAGCCCTGGGCACTTCACTTGGATGTACCCTGGTACGTTAATGCAGTGCATCTGGAGCTGATGCACGATGCGGTGTGACATTAACCTACCAACTTAAAACCAAACAGTGGGATGGTGACCATATTTTCGAAGTATATTTTTGTAAAACAAATGAGTGGGGAGGAATGAAAGGGGAAAGTTGAGAGATGTTGGCTTTGACATGTAAAGTTGGGTGCTGTGCGGCCTCCCTGATCACACTGGAGCAGTTCCAGGTTTCCTTCTGCAAACCCACCTGGTTCTCTTGATCAGTTCTAGCAGGCAGGTGGTTCTGTGCATCATTTCCCTACTGACTGAGGATAGCCTCATTCCAGCACAGCTTTTCCAGCAGCTCGTCCTGTCTGCTGCCTCGTCCTGACCACGGCTTTTTTATTTCCGCAGTGCTTCCCTCATGATGAGTTCTGAACTGAACGTCCCAGTGGATCCCTCCACCCCTGCTTGCTGCTCTGAGCCTGGCACCAAGGGCATGGATTATCGGGACTGGGTGCGCCGCAGCTACCTGGAGCTGGTGACCTCCAACCACCACTCTGTTCAGGCCCTGTCCTGGAGGAAGCTGTACCTGAGCCGAGCCAAGCTGAAAGCCTCCAGCAGAACCTCTGCTCTGCTCTCTGGATTTGCAATGGTACGTTGGTTTTGCAGGAACGCTTTCTGGATTATGAAAAAGTAACAACAAGAACGAATCTCTGTTAATTGGTGTTCTGTCCCTGTGAAGAAGCAGGGTGTGCTGTGATGTGCTTGGCTGTCCCAAGACAGTGTGGATACAGGAGCTGCCCACACCTCCCAGTTATCCTCCCAGCCCTTTGCAAACACTGATCCCCTCCCTGCAAACGATCCCAAGAGCTGCCCCGTATCCAAGCAGTGCCCCAAGGCCAGGTGTTGCCAGCTGCACCTGCTCACAGCTGTGGTCCTAATCTCATTTTCTGTATGTTTTTTCAGGTCGTGGTGCCTGTAATAAGGTGGAGGCTGGCTGGCAGCCTGCCAGGAAGCACTTTGCATGGCACAAACAGGGAGATCGTGTTGTGAGAGGCCCCGCAGCCTCGGGCACAACGTCAGAGGGCTGTGCAGCCTGCAGGGAGCCAAACCGAGTGTATTTTTGTCAGTGCTGCCTGTTGGGAGTAATCCCTCGTCCTTGCTGTGCTCTATGCTTGGG